ACCCTATATATACATAATACTATTATATGTACTATAATAACTAAAATACTGTATAATAGAATTGTTATAATGATTTTTCTAAATATTTAATAAAATTAAAGCAATTTAAAACAAATAACGCATAATGTATTTAATCATAAAAATAGTTTTACAATTTTGCAAAATAAACTTTATTTTAAACCACGTATTAAACGATAATTGTATATAAGATTTTTGTGTGTAGTGTAATATCATATTTACTTTATAATTTAATAATTGAATTTAATAGAATAGTAAATAAAAAATTGTTTTCTTATTTTTAAAATCGTATATATTTAAAATTAGGTTATAATTTACTGACACCTTTGATTATTTATATTGAATTATATAATAGCAGATAAAAGTTTTTATATACCAGAATAATAAAAATCTAAATAATTGGCCTTAAAGTTGCTGCACATGAAATTGATGTCTAATTGAATGTATAAACATTCATAAACACACATATATAACATGTATAATATACTGTATAAATTTATATTGATATATTAATAAATACACACACATACATACACACACATACATACAYACAYACACACACACACACACACACACACACACACACACACACATACAGACTGACATAAGTTTACACATAATTTAATTTATATATATTCTTAAAAGATTTTCATATAAATTTAAATCTTTGACATTCACTATAAATTTTGTCACACAAAAGACATTTCTATAAATATACTCCAAAAGTGCGTTAAGTATTCAATTTTTACATCAATTTATATAACTAAATTTATAAGTATATAACGCATCTATATATATAATTTGATCAGTTTACAACCAAATATTTTTTAAACTTTTAATATATAATATGTTAAAATACAATATAACGATACATTATATAATTAAATTGTATTATAAATTTTCATTGATATTAAAATGAATTTTTATTAAATTTTTTATCATAAGTTCGTTTAATAAGTGAAGTGATGTCATTTGATATTTTGCTTTATTAATACCATATAATACTAAATATATTTAATAATATTTGCTTATTTTCATTACACATTATATATACGGCATATCTATGTCGAGACAGTGAGCGGACACAATGATTGCCATTCATTTGATGGCATATTATTGTACACCAAAGCGCTTGCATTAATAATATTAACCCAAATTCAATACAATATTACTGATATATCATATATTAAATATAATACAATATATTGTAGTCGTGATGGACCAAGAATTCAGTGATAATTTTATATTTGTTGATAATTCTTGAGATAAATTCATTGTTTGAGACAAATACTTATATAAACAGTTTATATATATACAGAATATTCTCTATATGTTAGCATTTTTTGTGTATTACGGATACAAACGTCTAAAGAATTGATTCATTTATTTTTAGGCATTATTTTCTTAATACTAATTCATTTGAGACAAAAATAAAAACCATTGAATCGATTTCTAACTCATTTACCCGCACTTTGTATAACTTACTAATCAGATATTTAAGAATAATTGCAATTAATTATTGGATTACACTGTTTATTAAATTAATTCATGTCTTATTTAAATTTTTTATTAAATTAAAATGAAATACATGACCCTAGTGTTGGCAAAAAAAGAAATAATAGAGAAATGTCTATTTATGTTATATTTAACATTATTTTTAAGTAATAATTAAATATTAGTATTAGTATTTTAAATATTAATTAAAGTAAAAAAATAATTTATTTAATTATATTAAACTATGATATAATAAAATGATGAATAAAATTTTACTAAACTGATTATTATTGAATAATTATAATTATTTATATAGGTATCCATTTGTATAATAGTGTACTACATTATATAGTATAATATTATATGTATTGTATTATTTCTTATCAATACATTTATAGTATTACAATAGCTATAGATATGGGGATCCCATAGTATAACAATAAAGTTAAATTTCTTAGAAATTAATTCCTGAAAATTTTTTTAGAAACTTTCTATTTGGTGATCTCTATATGACCTAATAGTCTGATTTGTTAGTTAACAAAATAAAATAACTAAAAAAATCTTAACAGAAAACTATAAAAACAACTTTAAGTATCAATACTATTGATTTAATAATCTAAAAATAATAATAAGTAAAATAAATTATATATCTTAATTATTTAACTCAAGATTTATAATATTCATTATTAACTGTGAATTATAATCAAAAATAATTAACAATATAAACCCAAAAGATGTGGTCGTAAAGTGTCGACAACACAATTGCTTTAATGGTCTGATATATCGATTCATTTGTTAGTTTAGTATAGAATGTAATGAAAAAATAAAACAACAAAACATTGTCTATGTTTTATGTAATTTAGTTTTGTTGTATGTATTGATAGTTACAGCAAAACAAATTTTATTAAAATTCTATACAAAAATCAATTTGTCATTTATACAAATTTTTATTTTTACAACAATAACAGCATTAGCAACAACAACAACAACAACAACAACAACAACAATAGTAATATAAAATGTAAATAATATTTGAGTTCATGAGTTATACTCGCTATCATCAAATTGTGTCGAGACATTGGATTGTGTTATTTGAAGGGTCAGTCATATTTGCAACTGTTTACAACTTATACCCATATTTTTAATTAAAATGTTAGTTTAAATACAGGTCTTTTAATGTTTGATGTTTTAGGTTTATTTATCTAATAATATAATATTAAATTTTATAATAACTTAAATACTTAACAATATATAAACATTTCATTATCTTGTTTTTTGTATCTCGTATTTAATTAAAGTCCTTTAACTAAAATATGTTATCCATCATTCAATAGCAAAATCATTTATTATAATAATTTTCAATAGAAATTTATGATTAAATTTTGTTAATTTAATAAAAATGAGAATTTATTTTCTAATATTAAAATATTATATTATTGCTAATATGTAAATATATAGCAATTTATTTTGCAAGTCGTTAATTAATGTGGACATAAAAATATATTGTTTTTCAAATAAGTGTGAACACAATGTTTTGTTGTTATTCATGTTTTTATAATTTATTTGTCGCATTTGCAGATCACATATATACAGTACATACTTTATATATAAAAAATAAATAAAAATAACAAAAATCTATTTTATTGAACTTTTGCATTACATGGTAACGCCAACACATTTTTTTCATCAATAAAAATAATTTCGACTAAATTTATCACTTTTTTATGTGTGTGTCTATCCATCTATCTATCTATATATTCTCAATCAGTATAAGTGCTACAAGTTTTACTATAGTTTTTATTTTTAAATTTTTTATTTTAAAAAAAAGTTTTGCAATAAGTTATTAATATATTTTTACATTCATGTATTTTTTACTAAAATTAAATATTTAATAATTTAAGGATTATTTTTTAAATTTTATTGCAAAACTTTTTTTGTCAAAAGCTTTAAAAATGTATAATAATATAATCAATGCTAATATTTTGTATTTAAATAAATACATAAAATATTAAAATTATATTAATAGAATCTCAATATAACTATTAATATAATAATACGATTACTATTATTACTATTTTGTAATTATAAAAATATTTCATATTTATTCATTTAATTTGAAAACTAGAGTTAAGTTGAATAACAATGCGACTTATACTGTGTTAATACTATACAATCTTTAATACAGTATATATAGTCTATTTTTATAGACAATTGAGATAAACAGTAAATAGTATTTAGTAAATACAATGAGAAATATTGTGTAAAACAAGATGTTTAGTAATTAATGTAAAAATTGGTGACATTTTCTCAAAGCATTTGACGGATAATTTGTTGAGAATTAAAAGGCATTTGTGTTTTATTTGTTGACATTTAAAACCAATCGTATATTTCTCTATTGCTTTTAATCGCAAGTAATCCATAGAAAAACACTAGACTTTACTTTAAATCTTTCAAATAAACTCAATGTTGTATTTCAATACTCAAGAGATTTGTTTTATGTACAGAAAAAAACAAAAATATATATTTATATACCAAAAAAGTGGTTATCAATTGCTACGACAAATCACACAAATTACTCTACAATATTTGGTTTTATTTGTGATTATAGTTTTAGACTCAAATACTAATATCACTGACAGAAATAAAATGAGTTTGTGAGTGAGTGAGTGAGTGAGTGAGTGAGTGAGTGAGTGAGTGAGTGAGTGAGTGAGTGAGTGAGTGAGTGAGTGAGTGAGTGAGTGAGTGAGTGAGTGAGTGAGTGAGTGAGTGAGTGAGTGAGTGAGTGAGTGAGTGAGTGAGTGAGTGAGTGAGTGAGTGAGTGAGTGAGTGAGTGAGTGAGAGAGAGAGAGAGAGAGAGAGAGATTTCAAAATCAAAGAAATATTTGTTTTTGCCATTCAATTGACTTTCATTGTTATCGATCGACTCTGGATTTGATTTTTTTCATGTAGTTTTTAACTTATATATAATACTATAATACATATGTATATAACCAACATATATAATAACAAATGTAACACAACTATAATAATAATAATAATTAAAGTCAATAGTATTGTATTGTATAATCTATAGCTTAAATAATTTAAACTGTACTAATTATATTCAGTGAAATAAATTAATATATTTTAAATTAATATATTGTTTATTGTTATAATTATAATTAATATATTGTTATAAGTATTTTTCTATAATATATATAATAAATCTGATATATTTTACTTTATAAAATTTGTAATTTATAATGTTTAACTACAAAACTTATTTATTTATTATATTTATAGCTAATTAAGACATAATTTCTATAACTGCTAATATAATAACTTATCTAAATAAAATTATTTATAACCAACAAATAGATATTTTTGATGACCAAAAATAATGACCTAATGTTTATGATACACTAATAATTATTTATTAAGATAAAATTTTATACTATATATTAAATATATAACATAAAACATAATTAATATTATTTATTATTTTGTAGGTAATAAAGATGTTGTTTATTGTTGTGGCACTGTTTGGCATTTGTTGGTTACCCTATCAATTGTATAACATATTACAGGAAATATATATCGAAATTAATAAGTTTGTATTAAATAACACTTTTTTGTATATTTCTACGATTGTATAACATACTTAACATTTAAATTATCTATTGATTAAAAAAAATAATTTATCTGTATTTTTATAGATATCGTTATATTAACATAATATGGTTTTTTTGTCACTTTTTGGCAATGTCCAATTCATGCTATAATCCATTTATTTATGCCATCTATAGTGTATGTCATTGTTATTTACTATATTTATATATATACTATACTAATAATTTATGTACAAAAATAATTAATTATCCCTATAATTAATCACACATATACATAAACAATATTTTTTAAAATATATATTTTGACACAATTAAAATTAAAAATAAGAAAATAAATATTCAGTGAACACGAAAGTTACAAAAACAATATGAATATAATTTATTATTATTATTACTAAGTGTGAAAACATTATACTATTTGTTACATTTTGTTTATACTGTATATATTAAATAAATATAATTATTTGATTTAACACTTTGTAAAATTAAAATATATAGTAGACATTGTTTTTAAGAGAGAAATCTTAATGAAAGAATTGAAACAATAATTCATTAGTTATTATTACATTAGCAAAATAGTAATGATATTTATATACATATATACTGTAGAACCTAGAGTTTAGATACAGACATATACTGTAGTATTTACTGTATAAATTAATTTCATAGCCGACTGTAACTCATTAATATCAAAAACACAATACATTAGTTATTTTAGAAACATTACAAATATTTTATATAGTATTAGAAAATATCATATAAATTATACAAAGTTATATATCATATTTTATATAACATATATATATCCAGTATACTAATATAAAATAGTCATAACAACTACAACAATAGTCAAATAATAAAAACAATTACATCACAACCAACTAAATTACAAACATTTAATATTAATGACAATAAATTGTTAAAAGTAATCGTAGTTCTCTCGAAAATCATTAACATTTATACTGGTATTAAAATTTTAATAATACAGTTAATGGATATTTTTATTCAGTAATAGGCGGACCAAATACTACGATAAATTACAAATATCTCTACAAAATGATTATTTATATTTAATTTGATAGTAAACTAAATTTATTGGTTTAGTAATAATATAACAAAAGCTAATATTGATTGAATTTAATTAAATTGATTTTAATAATATAAATGTTAACAATAAGTTTTATTAAATTTTAGGAGCGATTTAACGCTGAGTTTCGGCACCGGTCTGGGTGCTGTTGTTGGTGTCAGTGCTGTCGACAGATAGGTCCGCACCGAACAAACAATGGTAACACTATTGTTGTGACCACAACTACCGATGTGGAGCACAGCCAATGGCTAACCCATAGCCACATTAGTCCCCAATTGAATCATTTTGATAGCAGTCACCAACCGGAGAGTCTTGAAAATCATCACAAAAAGAGTACATTAGTACGCATTCCTCGCATACCAACAAACAACTCAAATATTGGACTAACTGTCCATCAAATGCTTGCAATTAATACGCAAATTAATTCAATGAATACCGGAGTCTAAGATAATGATGGCAACAACTCCAAGGCCAAAAAAACTAACGGTGCATACAAAAAGTACTGTAATTGTGATTACGAGTCAATTATGTGTGAAAATAATGATAGATTGAACAATAGTATGCTATCCGTCAACAATGAGTTCTCTGTCTAGTCATTTATATTAAGTAAATACAGTAAATATTGATACATATATACAGTATATACTTATTTATCCGTACATACCGTAGATTCCTATACTGTTATATAACTCATATGAAAAACTATATAAACAGAAATATAAAATGAATTGTTGACACAAACCATCGCTAACAATATATATAATTTTATTGTTTCTCTCAACGAAAATAACAGTCATTCATGTTATGATTGTGATACTGTAGTTAACAATTTTATGAGAAATAACATATATATTTCATTTATATATATTATATTATATTTACGAAAAATTATATATTGATCAAAATAAATTATTATTTATATGAAAATTATTTTTTAGGATTATACTTATATGATTTTTATTAAGATATTTTTATTTATTCAAAATTTATAATACTATAAGCATAACATTTGTATATTGAATGAATTATTAAATATTATTAATTAATTATATAAATTAATTAAAATTTTAAATATACTTATATATACAAATAATAATAATATTAATTAAAACTGTTAAAATATTGTTATAAAAAAAATGTTTATGTTTGACTAAATAAATAATAAAAATTTAATGTTAGATAAATGTAAATTATATTTAAAACATTATAATATTTCATATAAAAATATTCTACAATAAAAGATCTATCATTTCTAAAAATTGAACAAAAAATATTTTTCATTTAATTGGAATTTTATAATGCTATCTATTTATATATTTAATGCAAAATATATGAATAAATGTAGTAAAATGTTAAATTAAATTTTGTAAAACATAAATTTATAAGAAAATATTTACGTTAAAGTTTTGAACAAATACTAAGTTTATATTAAATATACGATACATTATTGAATTCATAGTAATAATTAAATTTTTCAATTTTGAATTTAAGTATAATAAAAAATTTAATAATAATATTAAAAATTAAAATAGTTTAAATTAATATTTTTAAATAATTTATCTCTGGAGTTGATTTAAAATAAAATTATTTTATTTATAATTATAGTTTTCTAGGAAATGATTTTAGTTAAATTAATTAGAAAAATAAAATTAATTAATTTAAAAAATAAAAAATAAATATAAAATAAAATTATTGAGCGATTAACAAGATCATTTTTTTAAAACTCGTAGAAATTATGAAAGTAAAAGTATTCAAAGATTAAATAAATAATTTTGTTTTATTTCAAATCTCATATATAGAGTAGTTTTAGAGATAACGTAACTATTATTGTTAACAAACCCATAAACTTAACAATTAAAAAATACAGTGTTTTTTAAATCTATGTCTATGTCTATCTCCTTAGAAACCATAGTCGTAACAAAAATTATTTTTGTTTAATTCCTGTTAAAATTAGTTTAAACTATTTTGACAATAAATTTATATTGTATTTACCTAAGTATTGCATAATTTATATAAAATAATTTAAATATAACTCTTAATTTATTAATAAATTTAAAATAATCTTATATAGGTTATGTAAATAAATGTTTTATTTAATATTAAATAAAATTTACATTCATGAAGCAAATAAAATAAATTTATTTTAAATTAATTAAAATAAAATTCATTTGTTAACTAAATTATACATAGAATTAGTTATTATAAATTAAATAAATTGTTTGAATTAGTAAAAATATATATTTTTAAAAATTATTTTTGAAACTTAGTAAAGATTTTGTAAATTTATTAAAGATTAAAGATTGTGAATTCAGATAATTATTTTAATATATCTTAATTTTGTTTAATAACTGTCATTCATTTTTTATGATAAATTTATATAAATAATAAGTATATTTAAAGGTTTTTTAATGTACAAATTAGTTTAAAATAATATATATATATATATATATATATATATATATATATATATATATATATATATATATATATATATATATATATATACATAATATACATACATGTATATGTTCACAAATTTAAAATCATAAATCAACTAAATGTTTGTACACATCATTTATTTTTCATATTATTAATTCAAAAGTGCATATAATTTATTATCATATAAAACGAATGTAAATTTTATTTTAGAGTAAAGGAGTTTTCATAACTAAAATTAATTTTTAAATTAAATACATAATTTTGACTATTTTTTATTTTTAAAAGTATAAAACAATATATTATTTATATAGTATATTTCTACTATTTATTTTTATAAACAATATTTTATTAACTTTTATTTATTTAAAAGATATAGTAATTTCATAATGTTACATATATTAATAAATATATAAATATATATATATATTAATAATAAAATAAAGATTAATAAATATTACTAAAATACTAATATTAAAATTTTTGTATATATAAAGTTTGTATATCTTATCTTTATATATACTGTATATATATATATTATACTGTAGTCTATAGTTTTATAATATTATATTTATACTAAACTAATTCAGAATTTATAATATAATTTATTTGTATTATAAAATTATTTAAACAAAAAATATAACTAATTAGTAGAATAACTTATTGGTTCAACATAATATTAATAATTTTTTATTACCATAAACATAAACAATAATTAACAATAATGAATATTGTATTAAATTGAATGTAAAGCATATTTAGTTATATCTATTTTTGGATAAATATCAATAGCAGTAGCTTTTGGCTGTTTATAATCAGAGGTTATTTGCATATCAAACGAATAACACATTTGCTTTAAATCCTATTAAAAGATTTTTATGTTAATTCATTAAATAAACGTAAATAAAAAATATATTTAATACTTGTTTCTCCATCACTATTATTTGTTTGTCATTTTGCATATAAATGTTATGCAATTGATTTTTTAACAAAACTACTCCTTTTGGTAAAATAAATTCATTGACACTTATATTATATTTTATCGTTTTGTCGTCGCTATTGAAATAAATAATAATATAAAATATTTTCAAAATATTTATATAAAAATAATGTACAGTACATACACTTATATTATATTTTAGAGTATAATGCATACCTGTTACACATTATTAAATTTGTTTGTTGTGTGTTATTTAACTCATTATGATTATTATAATTTTGTATTAAATATAAATGCAATTTTCCAAAACCGTTTGACGTAATATTGATTTGTTTGATATCGGCATTCAATTTATGGACAAACGGTACTCCATTTGCTTGATTAACAGTATAATTAATTGCATTATTAATATTTACTGTAACTTTATGGTCAATATTTTTAAAATTATTTGCTTCTCTCATTAATTTAATCAATATATTTCTAGCATGAATATTCTTTAATATAAAAATATGAATTAATATCAAATGTTAATAAACTTAAATTTAATTTTTTTAAATGTTACCGGAATACCATCGGTGATACTTCCATCAGATTTTTCTTTTAGTTTCAAATATTTGACAAATTTAATGGCCAATTGATAATGTTTACGATATGCCAACAAATGTAACATATAGATACTGGCTTCGGGATCAGTATCCGGTTCCACATATAGACTACTTTGATTGTCTGACTTAATTAGTGGCAATATATCCTCAAAACAAACATCTTTGTTGATATGTTGACCCAGGTGCAATGCATAACATGCTAATATTTTATCCAATGAATTTGTTAGTCTAGGATAGACAGTTGCAAGATATTCCAGTGTCCTATAAAATTCCATTTGTACTACCTGTTCATTATCATCTACCAGTGCAATATATGCATGTGCCGTGATATAAGCACCTGGAAATGAGCTTGGTGGTATTTTAACAATTTGATTGGGATCTCTTTCCAAGAATTCGCCGGTAAATAATTGTTGTCTTTTAAGCCAAGCACTCGTGTAATAGATTTCATTATTATAATCACTATTGAATTGACGAAATAGTTTAATCATTTTCAAGTATTCAATCGTCCCAATGGTTGAACTGTATCTGTTAGCTCCAGTGGGTGTCACTTCTGTACATTGCAGTGATGCTATAGAGCCATCAAATTGTGCTAAAATACACTTATTATTGATCCATAATTTAATAATTGCTATTACATTATCAATATCCGGTTGTGATTTTGTACCTAGAGTAGCCATATATGATAGCATATAGACATGATTGACCATGGTCAAAAATCTAGTATTACATGGAGGACTGGCTTTTTGATCGAATGGCAAAAAATTATAATCACCATGGTAAACATAGTCATCAATTTGATTAAACCAATTTTTATCATTATTGTCGTACAATGAAACCAAATAATTGTTTACTGAATTTTCAACAATATTATCAAAATAGTTTAAATTAATTATTTGGTTAAATGTAATTTTTGGATCTTTCATATCTATAGTTATATCATTTACAGTTGAATATTGATATCCATCATGATCAATTATTATTTGTTTGTCAATTTGATTTAATATTGTCATATTATTAGTATTATTATTTTGTTTAACTAATTGAGCTTGTAAGTTTGCATATCCAACAATATTGCCCACAATATAACAAGTTTTTAGTATTTTTTTCTTAGATATTAATGATACATTAAAATGACATTGATCAAATTTGATTTTAGGATTTAACTGGTTTGATGTTGTTTCGTTTAGTTTAAAAATAGCATTTATATCATCATCGAGGCTATTGTATATTAAAATATCTAATTGTGATTGTGCATTTTGTTTAATGTTATAATCAATATTTATTTCCATATACACTGATGAATTTCTGTATATCTTAATAAATATTATAACAATTATTGAAAATAAGTTTATAAAATAACAGTAAATATCATGTAAAAGCAAAAGTAAAAATAATAAAAATAAATATTAATAAACTTACTAATAGTGTTTGTTTGCTGATACTAAAACCATTGTCATCATCAATTGACATAGCTGATATTTCCCATTTGCCATTGTTTAACGATGGTATAGTTGCCTCCAAAGATACTTTATTGCTATTACTAAATATAATGTATCAAAAAAGCTTAAAGTTAACATGCATGATTTTGACACCTAAAATAATATTACATAACATACATTTGCATTTTATCCCAAACCAATGTACTACTTATCATACCATTATTATTATAGATTATCTTATCATAATCTGGATCATATGGATCAATATCATGTTCATTGGATGCATAGACTTCAACACATTTGGCAATTGTGTTTGACAATAGTGTAATTTGTGATGATAATGTGATGGGATTTTTAGCCATTGCTAAATGAGCTTGGTTATATATTTCATTAATTTGATTGATAACATTAAACTCTTGAATTTGATAACCATTGATGAGTTTGTGTCCGGCAAATAATACTAGCGATGATTTAGCTGCTGATTCAACAGTAAATTGATTAAAATTGTTTACAGTTTTATTGGATGATATTGTTGTTAACTTTAGATTTGACACATCATTTGGTGTAATGTATAAGTCAACAAAATCAGTGGCCAATGTATCGCTGGTCGGACTGTAAAACATGGCCACAAATCGTGCTACGGGTGCCATATATTTATCGGGAACTACTAGAAAATTTTGGACAGTATTTGGTTTGGTAAAGTTAACAGTACTTGCATTATATATTTTATTGTTAACCACAAAATAATATTTGAGCATGGCAATATTTTCATTTGAATTGATGGTTAAAAGTACTTCATCGCCGATACTTGATTTGGTCAAAGCATTGGTCATTTCGGTTGTCAAAAATGTTTTCACACAACTACTAATCGGTATATATGTTTGTTTTGCAATAATATTGTTATAATAAGTAACGTTAATCACTATATTTGTAAAACTAGTATCTGTCCTAAATTCAAGCATCATTGTGTCATCATTGGATGCAATACTAACCGGTGTTAAAGTATTATTATTGTTAACATATGGTATGATTTTTAATTGACTTTTAAATTGTTCATAAATAAACTTTTTAGTTGTATCCACTAATGAAAACTTTATAAATACTTTAAAATTTAAGCCAGGTTTAATTTGTTTATTGGCATTGAGAAATACTACGTTAATTGGTACATTAGTAAATTTAATTATTTTTTTATCATGATAAACTTGTCTGGTAAAATTGTCTATAGTTTGTATATAAACATTAAACTGATTATCACATTTAGGATTAAGCATTGGTGTAGTACTAAAGTCCAGTTGGGTATCAAAATCATTGAAGTTACTGACCCAACATTTAATGGGTATTTGTTTGTCACAATCAATATCTTTGGTTACATTTACCATCAATTGACCATGTACATTTTCCATAAAATCATATTTGACATCAATAGATAAATTAACTTTGGGATTCCTATAATCGTTAATCTTATCTATGTTTGTAACATAATTAGCAAATTGTGTTTGATATTGTGAAACTAAGAATTTATATATAACATTAGTATTATCAATATTAATGTTGATTGACCATGTTCCTTCGGGTGCATTTGTGTCCAGGTTAAATATAATGTCATTTGTAACACTGTTTGACAAATTGAAAAAAGATTGATAATAATTATCTGTTGTATTGATTTCTCCTTTAACCTAAATAATTAATATTAAAAATTAAATATACTTTAGAAATATTTTTTAATATACAGTATTAAATCTTATAATTTACCATAGTCATATATTGTTTATCAAAATCTGATGGGTCCTAAAATATTATTTAAATAATTAATTAAATATTTTAATTTAATGATAGATAACAATAATTTAAGTTTTACTTACTGTTAACGAAATGCTAAACTTATTAATAACTTTATTATCAATTTTTTGGAACTTTTCATTTAAGACAATTACCCGAAACATTACATTTTCTCCCGGACTGTAAACATCACTTGAACTTTGAACCAACACTTGATATTTACTATTAATCATATTTAAATTCATAGTCTGACTAAACACTTGAGCTTTGGCAGCATTCAGACCGGTTATAGTGGCCGTACAGCCACCATATGGCCACTGATCGGTAAGTGTAAAGTCAAACGTAAGGTCAGGTGTGGGTGTCTTTAACGTATATGTTTTGTTTTGACTGGTTTTAATACCGGTGTCTATTTTGCTGTTTATATCAACAATTATCATAGTATTGTCAAAATCCCATTCATAAAGATTGACTAATATCTTGTTTGATATCCATCTTTCAATGTTTGTCGGACCAGTTATTGCAAATTTGTTGGCACTTATAAAGAGTATTATTTTTATTATAATTATATCAAAATTAATTTCTTAAATATGCTAAATAACAAAATCTCGTTATTAATATAACAATATTTAATAATAAGTTAATAATTAATTTATATAATTTAAAATAAGTTTAAAATTTTTATATTTACCATAATGACAAATTAATATAAATAATTATTTGAAATAAACAATAGTTTAAAAAAATATTAAAGTAAACCTTCATTGCTACGGAATTATTAGCAATTTTTTACAAACATTTATTAAAAATTATATTTACAACTAACTTATAAGTACTTCAATCATATAAGTTCAGTAATAAATTAATGTTATAAATAAACTGTTAAATAAATTTAAGTAATATAAAAAAAGATTTATTAGTTGTATATTCAATGATTGGTTTGTAATAATCAATATAAGTTAGATTAAAAACAATATATCTAAATCAATATTTTGCATTTCAATAGATACATTAAAATTTTGTGTTATAACTAATATATAAATTGTCATGGTTATAATCATAGAATATATAATAATATCATATATTATATAAAATTAATGTAATTATTATAGTTTATAAAATTTTAATAAAAAGATAAATATTACTGTAATTTACAAATTGATAACATTAGACAATAGATATTGAGTTAAATGTCAAAAATCAATACTCAATTTTATTAAAATAATATTTAAGATTAATTATAATATTTATTTAATATTTTCTTTAATCCAATCGGTATAATCACTGACCCGTGTATAAACACCAGGCATACCGGGTCGTCCACATTCATAACCCCACGAAACTATACCAATTAGTGTCCATTTAGTTTTACCGATGTTAATCATGAGTGGACCGCCCGAATCATTTTGACAGGCGTCGCGTCCTCCCTGTGCTTCACCGGCGCACAGCATACTCGACGTAATACCCGGTCTAGTCTTATATACATTACCACAATCCTTATTATCCCAAATCTTGACACTGACTTCCTGTAAAATTTCACTTCTATTTCCGCCAACCTTAGTGTCTCCCCAACCGGCAATTGTGGCCATTTCGCCGACAAACTTATCATCGGTCCACGGAATACATATTGGGACGACATGTTTAGTAAATTTAGGTATCCGTGTCTTTAATTTCAAAATAGCAATATCATTTTTCATCGTACGTTTACTCCAATCGGAATGCATATGTATGGACTCGACCGGGTAAGTGGTGGTATTAGGTTCAACATAACCTGGATCATTTTTGAACTCATGCGCTCCCAACACAACTTTGATTTCATTGGGACCTTTTAGAAAGTCAACACAATGTGCAGCCGTCACAATGTATTGATGATTTAGCAATGATCCGCCACAACTCGGCAAATAGTCGTCACCATAAATAATAGCGGCCAACCACGGGAACGTATGACGTTGCGCCGATTTGCCGCCAATTACTCGGTTTGAAACCCCGGCACTGCACCGTATCTCAATTTGTGAACTATAAAATGGACTCAACGTGACTGCACCGTCACCATCATCACTGCTACTCATATCAAAGGCATTTTGCTTATGTATCAAACATAAGATCAATAATATTATAAATACAATATTTATTTTAACAGTGTTTAACATTTTTTATAATTTAATAAAACAGAAAAATTTACATTATATAAACTTTTTCGATTATATAATTTGCATAATTAATAGCATTTATATATGATTGCAATTAATATAATTTGTCGGGAAGTTAGTGTAAATGTTAAAAAATGTTACTTGACAATTTTTTAGATTTATATCCTCATATTTTTACTGTATTTAATTAAGCAAATATTTAAGAAATATTGATATATATTGTATATACACTATAATAGTATAATATTAAAAATAAGAAAAAATAGGAAATCATATTATTGTATAAACTTTATAATAACATTGCACTACTATTATATTTTCATATTGTAAATGAAATTTAATTTTGATAATAAAATATAAAGTTTTAAATCAGGAAATATAGAGTACATACTATTACATAAATTTATTGTAATATAATTATTATAGAATATAAAATAATAAATTAATAATAGACTTACATATAATTTATATAAATAGATTATTAATTTTTTTACATACTGTATAATATTTTATATAAAATAAACTACAATATAGTAATATTTTTATCAATTAAATGATGTTTTCCTTAATCCAATCAATAAAACTGTCGACACGTGTATAGATACCGGGTTTGTTAGGCCGGGCACAACCTTCACCCCACGAAACTATACCAATAAGACGATAGGGTTCACAACAGTTGTTTCTCCAGATGATGGGACCACCAGAGTCTCCCTGACACGAATCTTTGCCGCCCTCCTCATGACCGGCACATAACATACTGTCCGATATATACGAGTCATTATAGGCTCGACGACACTCATGAATGTCCCAAACGGGAACATTCACTTCTTGCAATTGATCAATAGGGTCGCCATTTTCACTGGTTATTCCCCAACCGGCAACTGAAGCCTTATCGCCCGTATAGTCAGTGTTTTGTTTAGGCAAACATATGGGCCATGTTCTCGGTGTGAATCTAACCGATTCCTGTAATTCAATTAAAGCGATATCATTTTCCATAGTAGACCAATCAAACTTGTTGTGAACAGTTATCTTTGAGCTCATATATTCACGCGCATCGGAATGCCGTTTATGTAGATCAAGTGTACCCAACAGTATCTTTACTTGAGTATTCGGGTCCACACAATGTGCGGCTGTCAGCACATGTAGTTTATCAATAAGTACTCCACCGCAATATTGAAAATTCATGTCACCCATCAATAGTGCGGCCATCCACGGCCACGAACAGTCATGAGCCAGATTGCCGTTAACGACTCGGTTAGTTATACGGTTAGATTGACATTCACTCGACAGATATCCACAAAACATCAACTCTGGTGAACTCGGATCTTGAGTTAGTGGGTTTGGTGACACCGGCTTATCCATTGTAATCATCTTAATGTAATCATATTCAGTATATCCCATATCTCTTAATGCGATATTACTGTCATTATTAGTTGTATTGTTAGTTATAGTATAGTTAATATTGATGTCAGTTTTATTGAATGAATTTGATAATTGCATACAATTATGATAATTGAAAATTTGTAAAATCAATACTATTTTTAATAACATTGTCAAATATTCTATAGATTATAATAGCAATAAACTTTTAATTTAATCTGTATTTAAATGATACATATTTTTATAAATAACATATAACATTAAATAATTAAGTAGTTAGATAGTCAGTTATATAATAAAATAGCATTATCTGAACTATTTCATTGTCATGTCTATTATTTTATAATTTATTTATGTTTGCATTTGTAAACGTGCTATAAATATTGTATTTACTTGTTTACATTAAATAATATGATCATATTTAATATAATTAATAAATATATTTTAAAATATTATAAAATTAATAAAAATAAATTCAATTATATACATATAATTACATTTTATATAAAAATTAGTACTATTTGTTAAAATAACAAAAATTGTTTTTAATTACAAAATAAATTAATTGTCTGGAATTAAATATGAAAAGAATATGCAGAATTGTACAAAAATATATAACAAATAATTACTAAATAAAAAACATGAAACAAATATTTTTGCAAAAATATTATATTACCGTAATTTAAATGATAATATGTCATTTACATAAGTTATACTTTTAATGTTAGTAAATAATTTACAGTATATAAATAGCATGTATTTGTCATTAAATAAATATAGCAATAATAAGGAAAATGGAATTATCACTAATGGTCGACACTTTTTTATATAAGTTTTTTAAATAGTTATTGTATTATTTTTCATCATTTTATTACCACTTGTTTTATATTACAGTAAATTATATCACTATAAATTGATATTAATAAAAATAGACAAAAATATTCTAAAATACTTAGCTTATTATTAACAATAATAAATATACAAAAACACTATTATATACAGCAATATAATTTAACTTAATGATGATATTGTTTGATTTGAAAGTATAATTTCTGATTATAATTTTGTGATACTATGACTGAAATTTAGTTTAAAATCAATTTGAATTGATATAATAATTGATATTTTGTATGCATTTAATAAAAAATTCTATTATAATTTATATCCTATTAAACTCAAACTTATATAGACCTTGATATGTTTATAACATATTATTTTTATAATATGAAATATATTAGATATTATAAAATGACGTGTATATTCTTAAATATTAATTATAGCAATATTTTATATTATAAAAAATAGTATAAAAACAATGAAAAATAATTATTTTAACACAAGTCAATTAAAACATTTAAAATGAAACAAATAATTTTAGTATTATCAACTTTAATTTCAATTACATATGGTATACTAGTTATAATTTTTTAAAAGTATTTTTTAACTAATTATATTTAATTAAAATATTTCTTATTAGCAAATAAACCGTTTGTTTGCAAGGATGACATTCATAAATGTTATTATGTATTGAATGGTTTGAGTACAGAAAATGAGGCCAAAAATCATTGCAAACAAATGGACACAAAGTCACAGCTATTGACCATAAACTCCAAAGAAGAGCAACAGTTTATATCGTCAGCTTTGGCATCAAATCCCAGTCTTAAAGACAATGTTTGGTTGGGTCTGGAGTATGGATACTCTACTTTGCCGCATACCGTTCCCCGTAATCTGAGATGGCGTTGGGATAACCGTGTGGACAGTCAGTACTTCAATTGGTGTCCCGGTAGGAACTGTGCCTTTGATGACGAGGACGCCCGCAATTGGGGTGACTGCGCCCGTATGTCTGTACAAAAGGGATCATCTCTGGGATTGTGGTACAGCCATCCCTGTACTGCACAGTTGGGTGTTGTCTGTGAAATTATATCTAAATAAATATAATAAATAATTTATAACATAAATATTAGAAATATGAGATTTAAATTATGAGATTAGTTATATGATATTTATCTATATAATTAATAATAATAATAAAATATAACACAATTATTTATTACTTATAAATTAAATTATTATTTTTGAAAATAATTATTAATAAATAACAATTTTCAATTTTTACAAATACATTTTTGCGTTATAGATTATAGTACGTGTAAAATAAAAATCGCATTAAATAAAAGATTAATTATAAAAATAATTTTTTAAATAGTGTACTTATTTACTATTTATAATTAATTATATATTAGTTTTGCAAAAAAACTTGTTTAATTAAAATAAATAATGTATTATATTTATTTTAAATAACATCTGGTACTATTACATTATACAATATTTTATGAAACCACTACTTAAATTATTAAAATATACTTTTTATTTTATATTTTATATTTAATTATTTCACTATATTGTTAAATTTACAATATTAAATTTTAATATTAATGTTAATAGAAAATATTTTTTATTCTATTGTAAGTTAATATTTATTTATTAAATTATTTTTTAAATAAAGGTTTTGTTAAAATATTATAATAGATTTTTCAATAGTCATTAGTATTATAAAATTAAGAAATGCAAAATTTAAGAAATGAAATATAATATTATATAATTTAAGTTTATGTCATCACAATCACACATTATAAATAAAAAAAACTTTTATAACTTACTTTTTATTACAATTTTTTTATATAAATTTTAGCCGATTTTTGTTTTCAACCTTAAATGCGGACAAATTATTGCAATATTGTTTCGGACATCACTTGTCTCTGTCCTTCACAAGTTGTGTCACTGACAGCACTGTTGGTCTTTAGGTACATATGTTGTGAGAGAGTGACCAAAAATATCATAATTCATACACTGTTTATGCATTAAAAGTGTTTTTGTATAGTATTTGAACTAAAGTTATACTGTATGTGTCATTTGCCAGTTTCTATTGTAATGTACTACATGTCTATCATTGTCCACTGTACCACTACCAGTTTAAAACATCACATTATTTAAAAAATAAATATGATATTAGATTTTAATATAACAATAAAATTTTAAATAAATTTTTACATTATGCAATATTTTAATAATTAATATTTATAATAGAAATAAATAAAAGTACAAATATTTTTTAATACTAATTATGTAAATATTGTCATTAATAACATAAAATTCATTAAACAATTAGCAGAAAATAAATAGATTTCATAGTAAGTGAATGCAAATAAATTCCAACAATAGATACCAATCACTGGTCCCGACAAACGATTCAGTAATGTCTGCACTTTTAATGACAATTTAATTGTAAGTTTGACGTTACAGTGTATTGAATGCAATGTGGGATACAATTTGTGTGATTCACGTGATATACCCGATAGAAATGAATTTAATAGATATATCCAAAAAATAATCATAAATAAAACATAAATTATAAGTAATCTGATAATTAATTGATCAGCTATTATTATAGCTGCAATAACAGTAATGTCAATAATTGGTACACTTAAATAATAATAGATAAACATTATATGTTTAAATGCTGAATTAATTGTTACCACATGTTTGCAACAATGATTATGATATCGTAAACAATAATTGAAAAAATTGTAGTCAAATCTGTTGATATTAGCTAAAAAAAACAAATACAAAATTAATTAATAAGTAAACAAACAAATTAATGTTAAATTATGATTTACATTGTTTTAAATATATCGTGAAGTTTTTGTTTGACTGTTTAAATGATAGTCTAATATAAAGACTTACTAAGTATATGATCTCAAAAGAAAAAAATACTAATGAAATAATATAATAGTAATAAATAAATAATAAAATATTCCAAATAATTGTATACAAAGAATAAGAAAACTTTAAATACGATAATATTGTTATAATAATAAAAGTTGTTAATAAAAAATAAGTCATAATTTTAGAATATTTAATTGTAATCATAATTGACGATGATGATTTCTTTAAAAATAATGTCAATTGTTTATTTTTTATAATTAAATTGTTTGGCGATGTTTTACATATGTATAATAAATCAAACCCGTAAAACATTTGATTTCTTTGCAAACATATTATTGCTATTTCTAAAGATAAAAAAAATAATAAACATTAAATACGATTGTGTTTTTCAAATTAAGTTATTTTATATTTGCATACGTATGGATGATGATAAAATAAAGTAAATTGTGCATGCTAATGATAATATATCACACCTAGATAATATTGCAAATGGTTCACCAAATATGTGATAAATCCAAAGATTATTGTAATAAAACACTAATATGTATCTAATAATATTGATCCACGAGATTATGCACAATATATAAACAATTATTGATTGACGATTATATATTTTTTTAATTTTAGTGGAATTAACATAACTTTCAAAATTGGGATACATTAATAAATAATTATTAACAGCAAATATCTCAAATGATTCATAAAAATTAAATTTTCTTATATTTTTAATATAATTTTTCATTTTAGTTGTATCTATCGATGCATTGATATTCATATTTCTGTTTAAGATTTTATTATATAAATTATAAAAAAGATTATTTATTTTAGTAATAATGTAATTCATTTGAATAATTAGTAAATTATACTTATTATTTACAATATAATTTTTTAGATATAATTATGTTCATTATAATTTTAATATAAAGCTATATTATATTTTTAATTATTTTTTGAATAACACAAATATAAATATAAACTATATTACTTATATTTATTATAAATACGAAATCCCAATTCTATTGGCAAAATAATCGATATAAATATAATTGTCATTAAATAAAATTAATGTTATTTATATATTTATTTATAGTCATATAAACAAAATTTCCATTAAAATGATAACAATATAAAATAATAGTATTACTTATAACTTATATTATAAATACTAATAAGTTGTAAAGTTGCTAAAGTAAAAATGTCAATAAAATTTTCACGATTAATCAAATATCAAAGCAAATAATAAAATTTGACATTATATAAAATGTAAAATATTTTATATAATTAGAAAAATATTGAATTCAAGTCTATTAGTAAATTATTGCTTAGTTTTAGTTAGTTATATATTTTTAATTATAATGTATTAATAGTAAAAGATAATCTGATGATATCTGAAGACAATCACTTGATAATATGCTCTCAATTAATCATATTTTTACAAATATATAACTTAGTATTAATGTATAAATCAAATAGTGTAAAATAATGTAAAATATTAAATCCATAGGTGAAATCCACAAGTAATAAGATATAGTGTATTGAATTTATGAATATAATACATAATACTATTTTTATTTATATATTTTAGTCTATCGTATTGTTTTTAAGAAACTAAACAATAATTTACATTATTATAAGTTTATATAAACAATAAATTAAATTAATTATTAAATTAATTAAAAAAGTAATAATTAAAAGTAAATAATTAAAAGACTATATTATACAATAAAGTAAACATTTAATGATTCAATTTAAAGATGTACAGTACAAAACAAATTACAGTTTTCAACTAATAATTATAAAATTTATTTAAGCCATTAATATAATGGTCCTCTCAATTGTCGGACAAATTTTAATTGCTTTACACATTCATTATTGTTAATACAATTACCATAATTAACAAGTATTGATGTATAATTATCAAATAATTGTTGACATATATTTAGGTTAATTTTATCATTCATATAGATAAAAGCTTTATCATTAACAGATTGACTTGAAACTAATGTTGACCCTGATGTTTTTATTGAATAAAAATCAATTAGTGTTTGATTTTTATAGATAATATTATTAGCGATCAATGATTGATTTAGACAATAATCACTAAATGGGTAGTAATTGTTATTAATCGATATCATGGGTGCAATGCTTACAAATTTATTTGGTGTTAGTTTTTTCAATATAGCCGCCTGTCTTGAAATAAAATATAATAATTGTTTTGACGTCACTTTTCCAGTTGGCAATTCTAGTTGTGATTCAGAATTGTTCCAGCATTGGTCATCCTTATATTGATTAATTAACCTTGTTGGATCTTCCAAAATTTCCCAACCGATTAGCGATTTTTTATCATTATATTTTGATAGTGTGATCAACAATTTTTTTATATAATGTTCAAATAGTGTACTATTATTGATCAAATTAATGGCACCAATATCTGCTTTAAATAGATTAACCAAAACAAATACATTGTAGTAATTGTTTGCCTCATCGATGACTGTTTCCAATAGAAATTTAATTGTTGACCAAAAAGTCTCAATATATACCAGTTTTAGATTACTTGCATAGAGATCATCAATAGATAGTGAAATGCGAATCATATTTATTGGTATTTCATATTTTGAATTACGAATATCAAGCATTGACTGCTGTATTGTTGAATAGTATTTAGTTATACTTATAGTCCCCATATCGGCACCCGATATATATAATGGGTTTGAATCAAACATAAACATATTAAGCTTACTAGAAATTCTAATACGATCTAGATCATTTATGAATACAAATATAAATATTATTTGTTAAAATTTAAAAAATCATTTAAAAATAAAAAGTATTTTGACTTTACTTGAATAGTCAAACATATCTGTATCCAATTGTGAGCAGGGCAAATATTTAGTCCACATTTTACATTGCATATTGTTTAATGATTCATAAATACAAAATGAATAATTTTGAACATCATATTTACGATTGTGTAATAAAAATTGTTTAATCCATATCATGCTATTATTGCCAACAAAATAATTATTATATGGATAAATAACATTTTTATCATCATAATCTGTGTATATGTTTATAAAAACATTTATATTAAAATAAAACTTTATAAACTTAAAGTAATTGTACGATACCTGAAATTTTATTAAATGAAAATTCTCGTAAATTGTTAGTAAGTTTCTGGAATATTTCAAAATAGAAAGTACTAATTCTATTTTGTTCTATTTTTAATACTTTTA